TCACCGCCGCTTGATGAATGATGACACGATGACAAGAGCCGCTTCAAAGAATTGACATGGTAATTGAGCGCTATAAAAAGATAGGAGAGGTGAAGGGGAGGAGACTCAGCTTCTGAAGGCAAGCACCTGGTGAGACAACTGGCGAAGATAACAAACGAGTCAATGGGCACAGCGAAACATCAGGCTAAGAACGGCCCCGCACCCTGTAAAATGATGCCTCACTAGCCAGTAGGAAAAGCTTAATTATCATTTCTTTTACTCGTTCTGTTCTCTACTAACACAGACTGTTCCTTGGTGATTATTAACACAAAGCTTGATGATGTGAAAATTCTGATAGAAATTTGTTATTGATCAATAAAAATCAAATTCCTTCAAAAAAATTATCCGTTAATCTCGTACCTCTATCAAGTGAGCATGCCCGTTCATGAGGTACTTCTTTGTCAGCGAGGGCGGAATGATTTTCGGTGGCACTCGGTACTGATCATTGGCAAGAGTGATCTCCAGCCATTCATCAAACACCTAAACCAAGTAGTTCACCATCACCTGGAGATTTCAAGGGATTAAAACATTATCAATGATGAGAGTACGGGCGGAGTTACTCGAGTTGCCCTACAGGAGTTGTACACCAATCAGAGAGGCAGAGTGCTCCAGGTGGCTCCGCCCATGCTCTCATCGCGGTGGTGTCTTCATTTAAACAGGATTCTTCGTGCACTCACCTCTTCACATGTGGGTTTCTTGATGAAGTCCAACAAGGGGATAGTATCCGTTTCACCCATAAGTCTAAAACCGTGAGGAGCAAAAACTTCCAGATCCAGCTCGTCCATGGTAACGTAGCCCTTCGCTGTGATCATGATGCTGAAAAATTCGAGAATGAATTGCCTAAATTCGGTCTACATTTTGACTTCACGAATCAACTTTTCCAGATTACTGTTTTACGGGTTTAATTACAACTTGAAATCTTTCTTTTGAAGTTCAGTGGGACTTCAGCTAGTGCTCATCCGTCTCACGAGCTGAAGGATCCAAAAGAGGGAAACGACTAACGAGCGCATTGACTGCGTTCGCTCCTCCAGTCTGCAGCTCACAAAAAACGAAAACTTTGAATTACTCTTAATTTCATGCCTTATATCTCGCCCTTACCCTACTGATGAGCACAGAAGAATTCCATTCCTCCGCTCAGTTCCCGTCTAGAGCGAGGTCGAAACAGGCCGACCTTATGCCTCAATTATACTCACCAGTCTTACCCTTTCGAAATGTGCTAATTCAAATTTTCTTCAAAACTAGGAGTTTTGTTTGCTGAACATCTTCTACCAAAACAATTCTAAAAGGACCTCAATAAAAAGATTTGAATGTAACAAGTTTCTTCACTTCCACTAGCTTTTTAGGTTCTTAACTCACCCTGGTGATGGCAGACGATTGGATCTGAAAAGAAGACAGTGGACAAAGGATATAATGTAGCAACTCTCATAGGAATAATTTTTAAGCTTACCGATAAATTGAGATACCAATCACGGTAAACATAATTACTACAAGACAGACAAGTGTCCCTGTTCTATGCTTCATCGTGAACAAATGCTGCTCACCAGACACCAGGCGGAAAAACTACTCTGAAACCAATCACAATTAAAAAAATTTTTGAAATCTTGGATACGCTCGTATACAAGATTCTATACTTCTTCATATACGACTTCTTCATCTTCACTTCACTTCATATACTTGTATACAAACGTATGCGACAGCAAAGATTGTGATTTCGGAGGGAACATAAGAAAACAACTGAAAAAACAATTGTGAAAAAAGGACAAATACAAAATTCTCTGGAAAAAGAATTGAGGGATAACACCGACGATAAGCTTTCGAAGTTCTTCTGATCTGATTGATTTAATTCTGAAATGATCAATCCAATCAGGGAATGCCTCCACGCATTCGACTATGCATTAGAACGTAGTAGCACTCGAATGCGTGCTCAGACCGTACAGTCCCATGAAGGGTAGGGGCCAAGTGATGTGGAAATCTCTCGAATTATCCTTCAAAGCGAGCCTGGTGCCCAACGAAACCTCTTCGAAAAAGAAAAGCTTGTCTATTTATTGCTTATTATTATTTGTTGTTTGTTAGATTACGAATGTGTTACTACAAAAAAGTGTCATTCAGGATGAGCCATACTTTTGAGAGGAAGGAGCGATTGAACATATGTCATTGAGGAGTGTAAAAAGCAAGCATCAAGTGTTTAACTTTCTAAAAAAAATTCTTTTTTTGGTCAGTTAGAACTAAAAAAAGGACGTGAATGACAGAAACGGTTCAGTCGGTATCATGTTCGCACTTCTACCCACAAACCTTATCTGGATACGCATCTCAGAGGGAAGTCTTGTGCCGACTAGGGCAAGA